TTGTAGAGAAACCATTACATCCTCGGGGAGTCTGCTTGCTTGGATTTTGGTCTGGTGGTGTGATTGGGCAGTACTTCTTTTGAAAATGCGACTGGTGATGGTGTAACTGTCAATTGTCTTCGATATCTTAAGATGTTAACTGAGTTTTTATGGCCTGAATTGAATAATATTGACATGTGGTTTTCACAAGACGGTGCAACATGCAACACATCCACTGATTGAGAAAAAAATTTTCCTTTTGGCTTTTTTTTTTATTTATTTTAGTCCCCAAATACTGTGCCCTATCCTTTTTTATTTAATAAAATTGCAGGTCAAATTTCGTTTAGCCAAAATCAGTTACGCAAAAATTGTTGCCATGGTAACCAGTAAACAAAAACCCAAATCTCGTGGTGAGGAAATACACAGTTGCCAAGTTATAGATTATTTAATGTTCACTTTAGACAAAATCAGTTATGGTAAAACTGTTGCCTTGGGGACGCTTGCCATAGTAACGACTAAACAATAATAATAATTAACGTCTTTATTATACCAGCAAAACAACATTTACAAAGTATAAATGGCGTAGTCTAGCCAAATGGCCATTCAACTTAACCATATCACAAATCCTAAAACTAACTTAAACCTAACCTACTCTACATTACGCTGAATGTCTACGGATGAATTCAAATTTAAATTAAGAACAAGAATTAAATAAAACAAATAAAATAAATAAAATAGAATATGAATTAAATATTTTCATTTGCTTGGCTACCAAGAAAATATGATTTTAACATTATTTTAAATGAACTAGTACTCAAATATGATTTTAAGTGTGTATTTAGTGAATTGTATACTTTAGCGACATTATAGCTAAATGACCGTTGAAACATGGCAGTTCTATGTCGTGGCATGGCGATTTCGCAAATTTAAGGCATGTGCGTCAATCCTATACGTTAGCTAAGCTAAATTTCATGGTGAGGAAATACGTGGTTGCCAAGTTACAGATTATTTAATTTAACTGTAATTAGTTACGGAGAAAATGTTACCATAGAGACACTTGTCATGGTAACGACTAAACAAAAACCCAAATGCTGTGGAAGAAAATGCATAGTTGGCAAGTTACAGGTTATTTAATTTTCACTTTCGTTTAGCTGAAATCGGGTATGGAGATGTCGTGATGTCGACTAAATGAAAACCTAAATCCAGTGGTGAGGAAATGCGTAGTTGCCTTTTATATTTAGATTAACTCTCAACACAATATCCTAATCTAAACTAAAGTGAAAATGAAACCATCTATAACTTGGCAACTAGGCATTTTCTCACTACGGGATTTGTTTAGTCGTTAGCATGACAAGCATTTGCATGGCAACAGTTTCTCTATAACATCACGCTACGCTCCACCCTCCCACAAGCTTATTACTACATAGGAAAGCGAGCGAAGCGAGCGCGCCCATTTTCCGCCTTCATCGTAAGATCACGCTACGCTCCTCTAACCCACCCCCTAACTACTACAGAGGAAAGCGAGCGAAGCGAGCGCGCCTGACCGACGTTTCGAAATTCGCGCGCGCGAATTTCGAAACGTGGGCCGGGCGCGCTCTTTTTCCACCTACATCATAAGAGCACGCTACGCTCGTTCCACCCACCTACTAACCACTACTTGGCAACTACGCATTTCCTCACCACGAGATTTGGGTTTTTGTTTAGTCGTTAGCATAATAAGCGTTTCCATTGCAACAGTTTCTTCATAACTGATTTCGGCTAAACTAAAGTAAACATTAAATAATTTATAACTTGGCAACTACGCATTTCGTCACTGCCGGATTTGGATTTTTGTTTAGTCCTTAGCATGACAAGCGTTTCCATTAAAACAGTTTTTCCGTAACTGATTTCGGCTAAACTAAAGTGAACATTAAATGATCTATAACTTGGCAACTACGCATTTTTCCACCACGAGATTTGGGTTTTTGTTTAGTCGGTAACATGACAAGCGTGCCCATGGCAACATTTTTTTGCATAACTGATTTCAGCTAAATGAAATTAAACAAAAACCGTAATCATCTACAACTTGGCAACTACGCATTTCCTCACCATATGCTGCGTTTGAGAATCCACATCGGATGCATCTGAGATGTAAAAAATCTTTGATCACGTGATTCAGTATACGTAAATGTAATGGGACAGATGTGTCCGATGTGGATAAAAAAACGCTCGAGATGTAAAAAATGCATCCGATGTGGATTCTCAAACGCCATACTCGATTAGGGTTTTTGTTTTCTCATAGCCATTACAACTGTTATTATGACAACAGTTTTTGCATAACAGATTTCGGCTAAACGAAAGTTGAGCCAAAATTGCTGCTAGACAATGGGCCCGTTCACTTTCATTTTTGAATGTGAATTAATTATATATTTATAAAGATATTAAACTCTTTTGTCTGGTGGTACTTTTCCCGTTAATATATTTTTGCTAGAAGTAAGGGAATTCCCATAAAATTCTTTCAGTGACTCATTGCGTCAAAAAACCCCTAATTCCCTTCAGGTCTCGTATCGGTTAATAGTTAAAAGGGCGCGGTTGTCGGATGTATCATTGCACCACCATTCATCTTCTGCATTTATTAAAGAAATGTACATGATAAAAATATATTATTTTTTAAAAATAATGTGTTTATATTTTCAGATAAAGCTGGAAGCCTTACCTTTTTTAAATTTTAATAAAAACAATTAGTATTACTCAAGCTGAATATTACCAGATCGAAATTTTATTTGAGAAAATGTATCTGGTAAACGTGACAACGTTGTAAGTACTTCTAAATAGTGTTGTCTATAGAGAAAGTAAAAGTTGAAAAGTCTTTTGGTAGGTAGAGAGGGGGTAAACGTCAAACCACGTCGGGCGGCTCCGAGAATTTCACAGTAATGTTTACCTGCCAGTGTCGTTTCATAGAATAAGTAATTTTAAATTGTTATCGGCGGAACCGGACAATCGCATGTATTTATGGATTATAAATAATTATTAAACATGTATTATAATATTCAAATTATAATTTTACAAAATTTCAACAGCTATTCACAATTTATTAAACTATTTACTCGAAATTATTATTAACATCTATAAAATAATTTTGTACGCCAATGTATCGCGTCCACTTCGGGGAGATCCGCTGCCAACCTGTCAATTTATGTGTATAAAGTGGGAGAACTGGCAAAAGCATTTCCAACTTTTACTTCTGTTCTACACACACTTCTAGAAATAAATGCAACGTTGCCACATTTACCAGATAAATATTGTAAATCAAATTTCTACTTTTTGATTATGGTCTGGTTAATTTTCAGCCTGAGTAATAATAATAATTGTTTTAATTAAAAAGTAAAAAATAAGCTCCCAGCTTTAAATCTGAAAATATAAGTTCATGATTTTTAGAAAAATAATGGAATTTTATTATTTAACGCCCATATGCACCGTTTTAAAATTTAATCCAGATTTGCAAATCTCGTTTAAATGACTAGTGGTTATTTTCTATGCACCGGCTATGGATTAGATAATCTAGTTTAGTAATCTGACAACACTGGATTTTTATAAATTTTACAAGAAACAGAAGAAGAAAACTTCAGATTTGGGCAGGAGAAATGTATGTCAAAGGATAAGAGGCCGTTGAAGACAGAAGCCCAATTTTTTTAAATGTACCAAAAAAAAATTATTCTATAGTTGGATGGCAAAACCATTAAGTTGATTTTTGGTAATTTTAACATATATACATACAAAGTGCTGTATTTCAAGCTTTTCTATGCAAAACGATATACCTATATAAATACTTTCCCTACACTATGCATGTTCAAAACTATATGGATATGACATATCAATATTTAAAAGTGGACAAAATCACAAATATTATATGTATTGCTTACTTATTTTTACCTTTTTCAACATATCTGGGTTTGCCATCTAACTACAGAATTATGATGTAACGTTAGAATGTAAAGAATCTCTCAAAAATGATAAAGTTGCCCATCGTATAAACATATTCACTTCTCTCGTAATTTTGTCTAGAATCTTCGTCATCTTTCAAGAAAAGCTGGTTTTCTATTTCTGTTTTTTTATTAAAATTCAAATAAAATAAATAAAAGAAACGCAAATAGAAAGTTCCAAATACACTGACAAAACGTTGACATCAATTTGACGTAAGAAAATCTCGATTAACAATTTGATCCTCCGATATTGACGGATTAGAATAAAATCGGATTAAGAATGATTTTTATTACGGTGCATAGCTAAAACTGGTACTAAACGTGATTAAACCCTTAATCTGGATTAAACGTCTACGGTGCATACGGGCGTTAAATTACATATATAAATGCAGAAATGGTATATTAGGGATACTTCCGACAACCCCGCTGTCTAAGCATATCCGATACGAGACGTGAACGGAATTAGGGATTTTCTTACGCAATGAGTCACTGAAAGAATTTTATGGGAATTCCCTTACTTCTAGCAAAAATATCTTAACGGGAAAAGTACCACCAGACAAAAGAGTTTAATATCTTTATAAATATATAATTAATTCACATTCAAAAATGAAAGTGAACGGGCCCATTGATCTTGAAATGAACAAAAATTGCCAGCACGAACCTTAGCGATTTTGCATGTTAATTTACACAAGGAATAAGGCCGAATTGTTGCTATCCCTTTACTCGTGTATTCTCCAGAATCGGTGATGTTAATTGGACACCAAGATCATGTGATTTGACACCGTTGGACTTCTTCCTTTGAGGCTAGATGAAAAGCCAGATCTACGAAAACGATTTCTAATTTAAAAGGCGAAATAATTCGAGTTGTTGGTGAGATAGAACCACAATTATGTGAAAACGTGATAAAAGAGTGGCTATCTGTAAGGCCAAACCCGTAATTTTCAATAAAAATCTGAATACTCACTGTCGATATTCTGTTTTATTAACCAATAAATAATTGCGTCTCTAATGGAAAACCCTTTACTTGCACAAGTTTATCCAAGAAAAATGTCAACTTACGTGTTTGGTGCTTTGCGGTTCTTCGGTTTCGCTGGAACTGCCAGAGCTGGTTTGCCTGTGCCCGTGGTCGTGCCCGTGTTCGTGACCGGCCCGGGTGCTCAAAGTGAAATGGTCTTCGGTGGTTTGGCCTGGTGTACCGCCGCCTTCCGGTAGTGCATCGTAAAATTCGTCCTCCTCGTTATTGTCCGCATTAACTGCAAGACGAATAACCGAATCAGATAGAGTGACCTTCTTCAGAACCTCTAAAGCACTGATTATGAATTTATTTGTAGGTTCATCAATTTTAACTAGCAGGATTACGACTTGGGTAAAGTTAGTCACGCCGAAATTTTGTATGGCACAAGTGAAAACATCAAAAAGAAACGATCGATCGTGCGTTCGATCATCGAAGGGTTTCCTTTGTATTCTTCGCGTTGTTATAGGGATGTAGTAGCGACAGCTTGGTAGGTACGAACAATTTTGCGTCGTGAAAAATATAAACATCAAAGTGAAAAATTAGGTTATATCGAAATGTCAAGTTTAAATTATTGCTGCTGAAAAGAGGTTGCTACGATAATTTGGTGCGACTTTTATACAGGGTCGGGTCAAAGAGTAAGAACATGACTAAAGGCAAGCGCGGTTTCAGGACCAATAATGTCATTATTAGACCTATAAAAATAGCTAAGGAGGTATAGGGTGTTCCAATGAAAAGTAGCTCGTTTCCAGAGCTTATAACTTTTAAGCGCCTAATCGTAGAAACGTGCGGTTTTCGCTGATATGTGTTATTTTGCTATAAGTTTTGGTTTAGTAACACAGAAATTATGTATTACTACAGGGTATTTTTTAAAAATTTCCTCTTTTAAATTCACCGTAACCAAATTTTATCAAATTATTTTGTAAAATACAATGTACAAATTATACATTTTTGAAAAGTAGAAGAGTGCATCTTTCAGATGACCTAAACATATACAGGGTGTTCCATTTGATAAAATTTGGTTACGGTGAATTTAAAAGATGATATTTTTATAGGTAATACATAATTTCTGTGTCACTGAAGCAAAACTTATAGCAAAATAACACATATCAGCAAAAACCGCACGTTTCTACGAGTAGGTGTTTAAAAGTTATGAGCTCTGGAAATGGGCTACTTTTCATGATTTTTTTCGACCTCGAGAAATGCAGAGAAAAATACAAAATTTTAAACTTAAGCTTTAATCCATCTTGCGGTGAGTTGATTAGATTTTGGGCATAGTCGAAATATCTGAGGGGTACTTTATAGGGGGTCGTTTTTCTACTTTATAGAATATATCTGTATTTACGCTTGGAAAATAAAAGTTGCTTGTAATGTTATTCTCTATAATTTTTGTCATATACAAAATTTTCCTAAAATTGTTCGTATTCGAGAAATTTGACAAAAAGTGCAAAATTTGAATTTTTAAAAATATTTTAAATACAAGTTGCTTATGATATTATTCTCTATAATTGTTGCCAATACATGTTTTCCATAAAATAAACCGTATTCGAAATATTTGAGGAAAAGTGTAAATTTCAAATTTTGAAGGTGCTTTTATTCATTCTGCGGTGATCTGATTAAATTTTGGGCATAAAGGGGTACTTTACAGGGTGTCGTTTTGTACTTTAAGGGATATCTCTTATTTACGATTGAAGAAGAAAATTCTTCAAATAAAATATGTTTGCGATACCATTCTCTATAATTTTTGTGTTATACATAATTTCTCTAAAATGAACCGTAATGGAGAAATGTGAAGAAAAGTTTAAAATTTTTATTTTTCTGTATTTTCGTTGGCAATGAATATATATAAAAAAATATTCCGAGTAAGATGTGTGTGAAAATGTATTTAGTTCATTCTCTAAACATTTACAGAGGTGACACAATAGGCTGTACAAAATAACTGGAGAAACCATGTAATAAGTACAGGACAGTCATGTGTTGGACACATCAAATTTTTTAATTGTTTTGGGAGCTTCTCTAATACATAAAAATGAGATACAATACACACTTTAATACTCAAATTTAAAAAGACGAGGTCATGGGCGATATTTTTGATAATCTTTGGTTAGGTTATCATTAAATTGTAAAATTAACATTCCTGCAGAACAGCCACTTCAGTGCATAATGCACATGCGAAAGTCTGAAAATTAGTCATTGTTTGCATTATCGTTAACTTTATTTTGTTGCAAGTGCAGTATAGATATTTTTAGATTAATATTATGTGGTGCATTGAATTAGTAATAAAATTAGCTTTCAAGTGAAGGGTCACAATTTACAATACGTAACAGTTTTTATCAAACCAGAGGGCGCTAAATCGATTATTTTCGATTAATCGATTATTTTAAATTAACCGATTTTCGGTTAATCGTTTAATTTCAATTGATCGTTTAATTTCGATTAATTATTTTCGATTAATCGATTATTTATTTTTATAATCGCTCAGCCCTAATTATAATTACCTATTCATTTATTAAAAATAACAGTTGAATAAATTTGAAATTTTGCTTATCTACTCATTTTGCATATTGTTAATAAAATAGTCCTAAACTGTTCAGGGCCTCCAATAGTTTAAAGACAGCCCTGACATTATTAACAATTTTTTAGAGCATTGATCTGTGTTTAGTTAATTAAAATAGTTTTAAATAATTTGAACTGGTCTAATAAATATATCAACGCATTTCGTATGTCTACTACAAAAATTAAGGTCATTGTCTAGTTTGATATTTTTTCGCTCATGAAAAAACCAACCATACGTGCTTGTAGGTATTACTATTGTAAACAAAAAATCTTAGTTCCATATCTTGTGCAAATTAATAATAACGACAGAATTTTTTTAAATAAAAGTATTTCACAAATTATCTCAAATCCTCAAATATGCTACTTTTATGTTTTACACTGTCGCCAAGTCGCACAAAAAGTTAACTATCCAATTATTTATTATCGAAATGTCGTCTGTGTACAGCAACTAATGACGTTGTTTTACCCACTCAGAACCCTTATCCACTTCCATTCCCGTAAAACTGATAATATTAATTAAAAAAACGGCATATTTTTATTTAAAAAATAATTTGTCATTATTAATTTGCACAAGATAATAGAACTTAATTTTTTTTGTTTACAATAGCAATACCTACAAGTACGTATGCTAGTTTTTCCGTAATCAAACAGATTTGACATTTACCAAAATTAAATATGAATATCAACCTTAGAGCATTCTAAGATATCAACCTTCTGAAAGTTCACGATACTAAGTTACAACAAAATGCAATTATAAATAAAACATGCTAGAAATAGAATATTTTTTGACAGGACTTGTGGTATTTACACAATAAAAAAACACATTTGATTAATGCATCGCAAAACTTATCGGTATTTCTAGTAATACTAACAAATGCTGGGAAAAAAAAAGTGTCAACTTCTTCACTAAATCATTTAAATAAAACCAATAATTAATCACTTTCGCGCACATTAAACATTGATCCAACCAATAATTACCTCAAACACAACACGAAAAAAATAACTTACTTTTCAATCGTTTTACAAGAAATTTTAAACGATTTTTCATGTTAAAATGCCAATTAAGAGAACCATTTGCCAACAGAATAAACAGCGTGTGTATAATAATATGTATATCACAATGGTATGGTCGATAACATGATAACCACCGAATACAGTAAGTCAGTAAGTAATGATTAATTGACTCCTTATTTCTTATCAACTGGGTGATACATTTTCAGCCGCCGACAAAGCATTAGATCATTCAACGTTTAATGTTAATAATATAATAAACAAAACGACGTGTCTTAAAACTAAACAAATTCTTGAATGGTACGAATACCTTCGATTTGGTTTAACCTTAGCATAGGCGGAGCACCGCAATTTAAATGCGAGGTACAAACAAATTATTTCCGTTTATAGAAATTTTACACATTTCATGGTGTATAAAATTAGACATTCCAACAACCTGTCAAACAATAATTAGGCATCCCCTTCGAGCATATATTACTAGAGCCATTGTCCAAATGGCTCAGAGAAGAAAAATAGTGTCCAGTATTCCCATTGGTCTGTTTCGTTTTTCTTGGCATGTCAAATCATTTGAATTTTTCAGAACTGTCATTTGATTTTTGATTTTCATTAATTTCTAGCTTATTTTTGTAATTTATAAGTGATTTTTTGTGTTTTATTACTTTAGTGATACACATTTTAACAATGGTGAGAGTTTATGTAAGTTGTAAATAGAAATAAGAAAAGGCATCATGAAGGGCATTTCACAAGTAAGTAACCATTAGCGTATCTACCATTTTTTTAAAAAATACATAGTACCTACATTTTATGCAAAAGGCCGTTAAACATGAATTTAAAATAAATGGTAAATTTAGTGAATTAAATTTAAAAAACTTGTATTATGTATGAGGAATATTGTTTTTGATTTTGGATTCTAGTGAAAAGTTAAAAAAAAAATAATCATAATTTTTCAATATAAACAAGCTTTTTGTTTTTAAGTCTTATCATGATAATGTTAAATCAATAATTTTTGTTTTTTGTAGATTTCCAGCTATTCCTGCCGAAAAAACGCATTTGGTGAAACATATTAAAACTTACTCCAGAAAACATTTCAAATAGTAATGTTTTATGTTCCAATCATTTTTCTGGATATATATTTATGTGAAAGACTGGATGCGAGGAAGAACTAGATTAATTCCAGGTGCATTGCCATCAGTATTTACTGAGACCGTAGAAGAAGATGAATCTAAAAGGTAAAACCCCCTTTTATCGTTTAAAATTTTTAATTTTTCAGTGATGATCTGAACCATGAAGCCTTTGGTGCAGAAAAAGAAAACGCAGAATTAGAAAACATGTAAGTAACTAAGTACTTTTTAATACAACATAAATTTTATTTTAAAATAATTACCTCTTACTACCTATATTTTTTATAAACAACAAAAATTATGTTCTTATGTTATGTTCTTTAATTAAGTAGACTACTAGTCGTTAAGAAATAAGCAAAACCTAATGTGAGTTTTTCAATAAAAAAGTCATTTTAAGCGTCTTTTATTTGCACTCCTAGTCATTAAGAAATAATCGAAGCTTAAGACAGTTTTCCAATAAAAATGAAGCTTCACTTATTTGTTAACGACTAGCATTGCAAATGTACCTAAGTACCTAAGTATTAGCTTGATTTCTATTTGAAGTATATCGTTTAGTAATCTATTGAACATTGGTTACGAACAATATTTTTATATTTAATAAATTATTGGAAAAAGTTCTTGTATTATAATTCTCGTAAACTTGTGT